GAGTAACTATATGAGCAAAAATGTCAACAGCTTTAACATCAATCCTGATCTAGCAGACAAGGATAATCGAACACCACCTTCTTGGGCCGCTGAGCATGGATGTGAAGGAGTAGTGAGGCTACTACTGGATCGAGTCGATGTCAACCCTAACCTAACGGACAATGATTGTGGCAAAATTCCACTTTTGTGGGCTGCGGAGCACGGATACGAAAGAGTGGTGAGAACGCTACCGGATCGAGTAGATATTAGCTCAGTTTTAGCAGATAACAATGGCCAAACTGTGTTCCATTTAGCTGCCAAACGTGGTCACCATAGTGTCGTAAGGCTGCTTTTGGAACGGACAGACCTCTACCCTGACGCACTCGACATGCACCTCCGAACACCGCTTTCTTGGGCGTCTGGGAATGGGTGCCTTGAAGTTATCGAGCTGCTCTTAACTTGGGCTGATACCAACCCCGACTCCATTGATGCTTATGGCCGAACACCACTTTCTTGGGCAGCAGGGGCTGGGTGGGAAGAGGCGGTATCTCTCCTTTTGAGCCGGAGCGATGTTTTAGGGGACTCTATCGATACCTATGGGCAGACTCCTCTCTTTCGCGCTGCTGAGAGCGGCCACACAGGAATTATAGGAATACTCCTTAACCGCAGGGATGTAAATCCAGAGCAGCTGGATGACAATGGCCGAACAGTGCTCTCTTGGGCCGCCGGCAGTGGCAATGAAGAGGTCGTCAATATCTTACTAGAGTGGACTGGCATCTGCCCGGACTTGCCGGACTACTATGGCCGGACAGCGCTTTCGTCGGCTGCCGGGAAGGGTTACCGCAAAGTGGTTGAGCTGCTCTTGGCCCGGGCTGATGTCAACGCCGAATATGTGGATAATGAGGGGAGATCGCCACTACATTGGGCCCTTAAGAGCAGCCATGAAGATGTGGCGGCAGTTCTACAAGAGTGGGTTCGTAAGGTTAAGGAGCAGAGGTATTGCAAAATCAGTTCCGTGACTTAGCAATATAAACTCTGCGTATTATGATACCTCCCTAATTTATATTTGTTTATCATTTCCAAAGGAATATTATTAAACTTTCAGCTGACCCCTCTCTTGCTGCCCACACAAGATTTCATTTTTGGGCTACTTAAATAGAACGATTGTAGTCCCCTTGCGTCTCTTGCGTCTAGCATAAGATATGGCATCAGTAGCGTACTAGCTATCTCTTTCGTCCATTGCGCTGTAACCACTTTATTGTTTGATGAAACTGCATTGAATTAAGTTGGAGCTTAGGGAGTGTTTGCCTCGCCGTCATTCGAGAAACCGCCACCCCAAAAGGTCTTTTGAACCGTTGGTAGCATTTGGCTCATCACTTCTAACCCCTCAATTTGTGAAAACGCCCAAACACCCTTTAGGCATCTTTTATGTTAGGGCTAAGATCTATTCTTTGTTAAAAGCATCTGGGTCGGTGGACTTTTACGAGAATTGGAACCATTTTCATGCCACTTGTATTATATTTACCACGCATCACTATGACTTTTACCCCTCATCAATTCCTTTTGCTGTTGTTCCTCCCTCAGGCCCACTCGATTTCTTGAAACAAATAAAGATCGGCTCCAACCCCAAACAGTGATTTTCTAAATTTGAAATTCGGCCGCACAGTTCGGCAGACTTATCGTTTGCGAAACACGTTTTCGAAATCATTTCAAACAACGGTTTATCCGAATGATGGCATCCCAGACACCCCCTGAGTTAGGCGCACCAAACATTCAACCTAATACGGTACCCGTATTCCTCCTCGTTACGCTCCCCCCTCTACTATACCTTTTCCCCGCCGTCCCAAAATTCAGGCAAGTGTGAGACATCGAGCACCAGCTTGCCACAAACCACCCCTGCCCAGAACAAACCTCCCCAATAACCGTATTATACTCTGGTATCATGCTTCAATGACATATCATTCGACTGTGCAGTGCTCCACATACAACTTACCCTTCAATTCTAGTAGTGTACTGGTATCATACAGCGAAAGAGGGCAGTTACTGTATTGTACAACGCCACACTCAAACGGGCCGAACCCAAATGCTAATTCCTTGCCTTGTCGCCAATGCATTCAGGAGCCCGGATCAGCCGGAACTAACTGTTTCTAACTTAAGAAAAGGGAACAAAAAAAAAGAATGGTAGAATGTAATATGAGTTACTCATCGTAACATCCGAAATCCAACAGCTTATCAATTATTATTATTTCTCTTCCCCCCAAGGCCCAACTCGGCATACCATAATAATTATACGGTACGGTAGTCTCCCACAACCGCCCGGCAGAAGTACCCGCGAAAAACATGTCACACACATCAGTGAATTGCCAGCCGCCCCCGCGAAAATTCCAACTCATGAAACTGATCGTGATTACTATCTTTACCGGTTAATTCACAATCTCTTTCGCTTCCACGTTGTTAAGAGTTTACTTACTATGCTAGTCGTTCTTGTGTATAGGTTGATCGTTGACAACACTCGAATACGGCAGAGGATTTGCGCAGAGAGAGACCTCAGTGGTGTCACCATAAGCTAATGACAATGTTTGGCCAACCTGGTTTTCCCAGACCCCACCCAGCCAAGGTGTAAAGGCGAGGAAAAAATTGGGCCCGGGGTTGAGGGCCCTGAATTGCCCACTTCCACCATGCTCTCACACCTTCATTAGGATATACGATCTTGCAGCTCGTTCTCCTCACGCACGATCCCAACAAGGGTTGGTTTTAAGGTACCGTGCTCGAGGATTGGCCAGCATATGATCTCTTGGAAGGGGTGAGTTTCCGAATCTCGACGCTTGCCGGGGGCTTTATGTGAGCGACAACCGCTAGTGAGACTTACCGGTGTTGATATCTCCCACCCATGGTACAAGTGGGGAAGACCGCTCAAGGCCTCTAATGCAACCCCGCAATCCCACTACCGGCATCACCACCGCCCGGGCCCCTATTGCGCGATTGCAAATCAAACAGGCCTCGGACCACGAACACTCCTCCCGAGTGACTGTATATCGGGGGGGGGGACTGTTCGACACGCGCACAAACATTGTGTGGTATTTTCTCCGTGATATTTTAATAACTGCTCGACAGGTATAGTCTGTTGACAAAATATCGTAATACCTTTTATTAGTGTACGGCCTATTTCCAATCACTATATCGCAATAGATTTCATCGACGCGCACCGGACAGTGCCTAAAAGAAAAGCCTAAGAAAGTGGTTTCCGGAGAGATATACATCTGATGTGTTAGGGTAGATAGAGATCACCGTGATAAAATCAAGCGAGTGATACAGAATGACCGCAATCACAAAGCACAGGGGGGAAACCACATGCTCCCTCTCCGCACCCAAGCCTTTTACCAAACCCTCCAGAACAGGAACCGATCCACAGTCAGCATACAACAATTTGCTTTCCGTGGAAAGGATCTTGCCGTAATTACCACACCACACCTCACGTCCACGCCCACCCAACAACTCCCTCTCGGCACTTTCAAAAAAAAAAAAACCCCCCGGTCGAGCACACCGTATCATACTTGTAAGTGAGTTAAGATCGCCAGAGACCCACCACCACCGGAAGCCGCCGCACAAAGCCCGATCCCTCTCATGCAATTGGCGGCACAAGTCGAGAGCGTTTTCCACCCAAGTGGGTTCCCCACAGATCCCCGGAATCAGAAACGTCCATTGTCGGTCCTCCCCCCCCATCAGGAGGCCTCCGCCATACCCCCTCAAGCCAAGTATTCCCCCTTAGCTCTCCAGCTGGAATTCCGTGAAATCCGGGAGCAACGAGCGGGGAAGGGATACGATGGATTTCGACAAGCTAACGGAATTGCGAATACCTTGGCGACCGTCCAATGGCCGGGAGCTCGGGCTACGCCGTGTGCGGAAAACGCTTCTCGTTGTGCGTGGAAATCTCTTCTCTAGGGCTTATATATACTAACTAGTACCCCGAGCACAATACTCGAGTACTCGAGTACGTACTAGTACAGTACCTTACATAACGCCCGGGTTGTGGGGAATTGGTGAGACATTTTACGGAACTCGTTAATGGCGGGATTCTGCTCGTTATTGCCGAGGGATTGTGGGGGGTTCCTCTTTTTTAGCCTACCGACTAAACTTCTTGCAGAGATGATTGATGGATTTACTACCATACTTGCATAGCGTTGAGGAAGATGGACAGATACTTAGACTAACGGGTGGCGCCCCGCAAAGTGATCTCGAACCCCTCCCCCCCCCAAGGTTAGAACGATGGCTTTGCTCGAGTAGACTATTTTATTTTTGTCCCCTTCCTAATTCCCTGCATGTGCGGTAATAGTCTAGTTCTATGCCCACTCTGCCAACCCTACTTGTATGAGTAGTTTCCCATCACAACTGCCTAGAATCCTTCAGCAGGAGGGCCTAGCGGAGCACGCCGATGTCTCTCGCCAAGTATCCAAGATAATGCGCGATGGAGAAGAATCTCGTTATTCATGGAAAAGCAAAGAGCCATCTTAAAACCCCGAATAATAATAGAACCTCCTGGGGGGAAGGTCTGGTGTTTATTTTTGTTTTTGTTTTTTTCTGACGTCTCTCCCCCTCCCACGGGAGAGAGAAGCCCTTCTTTGACCTCGTTTTTCGCCCCTCTTTTCCAAAGTAGGGAATTCCCAACCACATATCGTAGCACACTGTCCAATCATTCGAGTCTTTCTACGGCAAGTCACTTACTGCCAGCTGCCCGTGGAGTACTCGTACTCGTACAGTGCCGGTACAGTACTTGGACCGTAACCAGGTCATACAATTTCCGAGACATCAGTACCAGAATGTCGGTACTTTCGCCGCTCTCTTTTATTTTTATTTTTTCTGTGATGCAGGTGCAGGATGGTCTAGTCCCCTTATGGCATAGTAGAGGGTAGTGCCAAGCCCCAGGATAAGGGAAATGGGCCTGCGGCGCTCAGGTCAGTTCGCTGACCTTGCCCTGCCAGTGCTTAATCTCCGCACCATACAAAGGGGAAATGTCAGAAAAATGGCATCATGCGGTAGTTGTTTTAATTGCCCTATGAAAAATACTCTGATTTTGCGCCAGGTCCGGGATAGCTATAGCTAGGATAGGCTAAAAGGCAAAATCGAGCGCTGACAAACGAAGAGCGGAGCAGAGAAGAGAGGATAAAGCGGAAGGAAAGATATGATAGACATACGAAAAAACCCAAGCCCGAGTCCACAAAACAAAGAAAATGAAAGAAAAAGGTGAATGAAGCCCGCCAGGCCTGGCGAATGGTGGGTGAATAGGGAAGAAGTAACTTAAGGTTAAATAAGAGGCAGTGCCGATCTGGCTAACGTAGAAAAATAAGAGAGAAGACGCCGAGTATTCAATTAGTAGAAAAGGAAAGAGTAAGATATGAAAAAAAAAAAAAAAAGCGAGAAATAAGGAGAAAAGTAAAGCAATGAACCAAGCAAATCCATCTCTCACCCCACCCAGAGCAAAAAAAAACGAAATGCGTATCCTACAAAGCCCCCACCTCCATCTGGAGACTACCTCGACACGGGACCCGTCCCCCATGCGTCCTGCCAACGCACCTTATTCTCCACGAACGACTTCTTGGACTCCTTTTTTTTGACCCTATCCACCCTTTCAATCCCGATGGGCGCATCACTCATCCCGCCCATTTCGTCGTCTCCGTCATCGGCGCTCTCGCGCTCCCCATCACGCTCGCGTTCGCGTTGGTGGGGTAGTTCTGCGATACCCATCTGTAGCGGCGGTGAGTGTAGCGGCGGTGAGGGCGGGAGGAGGGGGGAAGCAATGCTACTGGTGGGTGTCCTAGGCGGGGGAGGCGCTGGCACACCCCGCCAACTCCTTGGCACGGTCCAGCAATGGGACCTGAAATGGCTGCGCTCGTCGGTTGAAGTGTTGCCGCCAAAGTCCACTCCGTCGACGCCTGCCCCTGTGCCACCCTTCCAGGGCGGGGTACCGCGAAGCTTCGCGCAGAGGAAGTAATCAACCTTATCCGTCCAGCGTAATCCCGGGGCGTCAACAGATACTGTAGCTAGTGTTTGCAAGATGCCATATATCAACAACCACCGACCCTTGCGTGCGTCGTGAGGGTCTACTTCAGTAGGTTGTATACTCTTCTCGTGCTTCGCGAAAGCGTCGACAAGAGAATTGGAGGTCGATGCGGAGAGGAGCGACTCTATATTCGTGGATTCGGAAAGCGATAGAGCAGCGGCCTTCTCCGTTGCACTGTTTATGAATGGGGTTGAGTTTGATGGGAGGTGTGGCGGGATAGAACCGCGACGGGCGGCGCCTTGAAAGAAGCGACCCGCAGCAGAGGAGGCATTGGAGGTTAGCTTCAGTTTCGCCGGTGGGGACATTGTTGGCGGGACGAGCGGGAATGGATGAGGTATGTGGGGATAGTTGTGCCTGTCGTCGAAGCCTAGGAGGATATCCGTCATTTGGAGGTCGTCGTCGTCCGCTCGCCAGTGGGGTGAGCCGGGCTTTACTATCTTCCGGCTGCCACTTGTGCTGCTCGGGGGCTGAATGCTATGACGGCCGTTCCCTGGGGGATCGAAGGTTGCGAGTGAAGGACCAGACCAGCAGACCTCCCGGTCGACAAGGTAATCGTAGAGCGCGGCGAAGTCTCTTGATAACTGAACGTAGAGCATACGCGTAAACCGGCCATCAGGAGTCTGAGGTGGCCAAGAGCCAAAGCGCGCTTGGTAATGCTTCACGAGGAACTTCTGAAACTTGTCGAAAGCTACCCGAGCAGGTGGACTCGCGGCAGAAGTAGTAGGCCACATATCCGTATAGTTAAAATTAGACAACCTGAGATCGGCTGTCGCGACGCGAACCTGGATCTCCAGGGAGGCTCTATCGATCAGAGCCTTGGTGATAGGCGATATCTCCCGCCATTCCCCACCCCCTTCCAATCTTGCCAGCATACCGGTGCAATGCACGAAGCTTTCCCTCCACATGCTCTCTATTCCCGCCATTCCAAACTCTCCTCCACCAAGCCCGTATCCCAATCCCCCAGACGCACCTGCACGCTCAGCCCAAACCAACAGTCCCGCAGCACCCTCAGGCCAGTTGCGCACATCGTCGAACTCTCGCTTCTGCAAATAATCCATTATCAATTTTTGCGTGTGCGCATTTCCAACCCTGGGGCCGGGGAAATGCATGCTGTGCCCTGCTTGGGGGCCCAATATACTTCCGTAAGGACCTTCAACCTCCTGTATTCCGCGGTCTACGAGATCATATGCCAACGGGTTTGGCGGAGACAAATACAAATCTGTCCTCTCGACCAAGTCCAGCAACGTTTGCCCCAAAGTCATCCCCACGAGTGATTTATTGAACAGGATTGCAAAGAAATTCCTCGTGGTGAGGTGGTGTCGGAGCACAGCCGTCTTATCCGCGCCCATCGGCGCGGGGAAGTAGAGTCGGTGCAGAATTCCCTCTTCATCATTGGATTTACTAGACCCAGAGTATTCATAATCCATACCGATTGTGGGAGCCTGTGCACCCGGAGGCGGCCCTGTCCTTGGAGGTGTCAAAGGCCTGTTCCGAAAGTACCCCTCCAGCTGCGCGATAAGAAATGGTGACTCGGTCGATCTGAGAACTGAAGACTTGATCCTAAAAGAAGGCTGGGGTGGGGGAGGTTTGTATAGACCCTGCGGATTCCTAATAGATGCAGGTTTGCCCGTCAAATAGACTAAAGTATCGCCATCCGGAAGCCAGAGCTCCAAATCCTAATCACAACAAATCACTTAGTATCGGCCCGAACCGCAATTATTAAGCAGACAAAGGGTAATGGAAACGCGGCAGAACAATACCTTCTTCCCTTTGATCCCAGCGTCCCAAACCTCACCGCGCCGACCTCCGCCCTCCCACCGCTTGACATAAACCCTCTCCTCAAGCCCACCTCCCGGCAAGCCAAGCCCAAGCCCAAACCCAACATCCTTCTTCGCAGTCCCTCCCCCGACCGCCAAGCGCTCGCGAATCTTCTCGCTATTTGAGTCGAAGAAGCGCCTCAAACTCGACTTTCTAATTTTTGGCGACTGGTATTGGAGGCTATTCCTCGAACTCCCAGACACACTCGATGCCGATGGTGTCATAAGGCCACCAGGGCCAGGCTTGGCAGTGCCCTTTCGAGCATGGTTCTCTCCAGGCGTTGACGAGCAAGAGGATATTTTGTCGAGCTTTACTCGTGCGCGAGCGGATCTTTGCGCCATTGCTGTATTTTCTGTCTGTCTCCCTGCGTTTTTTTTCTTCTCCTACCAACTCAACGGAAGAACGAAAGAGGCCCCGGGGGACTATAGTTGTAAGATTAGGGATAGGGTGGGAGATAAATTTGGAAAGAAAGAAAACAGATACCGAAGGATGGAAGGAAGGGACGCAGGAAGGAGGAGGGTAGATAGGAATTAATACTTGTAGGTAGGTAAGGTTTGCTCGATGCGGCTGAGATATTTCAAGGTTGGTAGAGGAGCCTAACGAATGTTGTGAAACTGTCGAGTCAAGTTAGACGAAGGCACTATCGGTAGAATAAATCCACAAGCCTCTCACACCCCTCGCAAGATATTAGCTTAATTTCTATTTCTCTTTTCTTCTTCCTCTTTTCTTTTTCCCTCCCCTCTTCTCCCCGTTCTATCCGGCCATACAAGTGGGAACTGTAGCTTCCCGATTGAAAGTAAGGTGAAATAAATAATAAGACAGACAAACACACACACACAAGGCAGGCAAGGAAGGCAAATAGAATTGGAAGCACTGAACCGAGCTGGAACTGTACTCGAGTATCGATCGAATGAACTTATCCCCCTCAACCACCAACAAATGCAATCAAGAGTCGGGACGTGGTTTCAAAAAATAAACGAGCCCAGGCAGTTGGGTATGGGGTACGGCACTTGTGGTACAGTATCAAGGTACAAGTACGGCAGGAGGTGATAAATGTGTGAAGTAAGCTATAAGGTAAGATGATGAGGGGGAAGGGGAAGGGGAAAGGGAGACGGGAAAGAGAAGGAGAGAGGTAGAAAGGCAAAGAGACAGAGAGGGAGAGGGAATGTTGGCTAGAACTGTCACTTCACCATGATCCGCCACTCTTACAAGATGACGAAAGGCAGTAGAAGAAGGGGTAGCAAGTGGAGTACCGTAAGAGGAGGAGGAGGGAGTAAAAAAGCTCTCCGAACTCTATCCCGCGGTGTGGTCCCTATCGACAAGCTCCCTTCCCTTCTCTATTTCTCCCTCTCTCCCTCTCTCCCTCTCTCCCCTTCTCCCTCTCGTTTGACTGTACGAGAAAGCAAGCGGCGGGGAGATCGCCGACCAAACCACATACATATGGGCGACCAACACGAATCCCGAACTCAATCACAAAAACGCCCGACCAAGAAAGGTGAATACGCGAAAAGATTTTAAAAAAAATTAAATTTAAAAAAAAAAAAAAAACTCACCGAAGAAATACCGTAGAGTTCCTTGGATGAACAGCTGAACTCCTTTTTGCACCTTTGAAGTATTATGTACGTTTTTTTGTTTTTTTGTCCAACACGCCAGATAAAAACCAGTCAGGTTAATACCGCCATCAGAACACAAACTTTCGAATGCAGATGTTATGCTTGCACAAGTATAATAAGTTATGATAAAAAGTGGTGAATTCCTTAGTGTACTACACGAGTGCCACTTAAGTACCGGTACTATACTGTGAAAGGCGGTGAAGGTGGTGGTGATGAAGGTGGTGAGGGTTAGATATTGGGCGTGCGGGGGAGGAAAGTATGAGTTTCGATTGTGGAGATTAGGTCAACTTATTAACACGTTAATTATACAGTAATATTTGGTTGCTTTTCTGAGTGTGGTGTGGGTGTGGTTTGCGAAAAGATACTTGCACGGTATTTTATGGGTAAATGCTAAGGGTAAGAGGTTGTCTCCAAGGACTTGTACGGATAGCGACGCCGCGGTTTATGATACTCGAGTAGGTACAAGTAGCTTCAACTAACACTCCGGCCATGGTTTGGCACCGATCCGCTTGCTTGCTGGTTTCTCCACGAGCAGGAAAAAGAAAAAGAAAATGCTGGACCCTCCCCCCTCCGTCCCCTCCGAATACCGTAAACAACACCAATTCACCCTCCCTTCCCTTCTACGAGTTACCCTCGAGACACAGGGGGGCGGGGTCCTGGCTTTACCAATACATTCTCTTATCTTGTGCATTGCGGGCGGCTCCTACAATCGAGTACCGTACCGTACCTTACGAGAAGGAAGGGAATGGTTTCACTTCGGAGATCGCCGCTCTCAACCTGGGGGCCGCTAGACAACAATAAAGCAGCGATCTTCTTTGGAGGGAAGAAAAGGAAGTGAAAAAGAAGAAATGAAAAAATCACTGCCCCGACAACCATAAAATTGTTGGCCATGAACGTTACTCGAGTACCCGTACAGTACGAGTGAGTCGCGGCACCGCTAATTCAATCGTAGTCCGGTCGGAGCATGTAAAACTCTTTCACCTGGTTATTCTATTAGTCTGCGAGTAATTTATACAGTCTGTCCTTTTCAATGTGCAGCGCTGACATCGCATCGTTCGCGCAATACTACCCGTGAACTAACCAACCCCATTCTATCCCGGGTACAACACTAGCGCTCTAGTACTGTGCTCGAGTACAGCACTTGTCCAAGTCCCCAGCCAGAAATGAAGGAGCCTCGGACTTCGGGGAGATCACATACCCCCCCTTTCATTCCTTCCCGTGCTTCTCCTGTTGTTTTTCCTCCCACTGTTCATTCATCCACTTTCCCGACCCGGTTATCCACCCTCCGAGAGAAGACCGATTCTCTGCAGCGCACTGGCTTAGTCACATAGGCAAGCACTGTATCATACTCGTACTCTAGCTCATCGCGTCCTGGTCGTGGTGGTGAAGACGAATTCCCAAAACGGCCGCTCATGCCACCTTTTTTTCCCCTTTCTCGAAGAAACGTCCTGGTGGAGAGCTTGATGGCATGGGAACCCCCCACTTCGTTCCAGCCCCGGATAGACCGCGCTGGAACCTGTGAGTCGGTCTTATGCATCACAACCTGTCACTCGGGAGGCTGTCCGAACGAATCCCCGCTCAACCTCTAAACTCCAGACAGGACTGCTGGGAGAAGGTGTCTCCGCTGGTGTCCCCCGTGAGCGCATATATCCCACCGCCCCGGCAAAATACACTACCACCACAAACTAAAGCGAGAACTAGTCTCATGCAGCAAGTATGATACACGAGCATATGTATTAGAAAAAATATATGGTCGGTCATCCATGCGTATCCGTACAGCACAGTGCTAGTACCGTACACACAAACAAAATTATACTGTACCCTCAATATGCGGGCACTTCCTGCATGGGGCATCTGATTGCTGGGCTTTTCTCTGCAGTCCTGGGAATCGCTAACTTAGAACTTTCGGAAACCTATCAGTAGTAGGGCGGTGCGCCGGAGAATTCCCTTTGATGGCCTACCGTGATGGATCAGTGATTGGGTTCCTGGGCGGAAAATCGAGTGGTAGGTTTGGCTTCCTGTCTAGCATCTCGACCGTACTCTCAGCATTCGCCTGTACGGGGGCCATATTGTCCCGTTTTTTGTGTCAGTCCGGTCGAAGGAGAACCACTCTAGAAGTTGCCCGCTGAGGGTACCAGAGGGTATGACCCCCATCCCCGAACTCGGTAGATATCAGGTGGGTCTGGGTGTTTACATTAACGAGTTTATGGCACTCTCTAAATTCCGTACTGATTGCATCCTGCAGGAGATTGAATTTTAACTAAGCTACTCGAAGGAGAATGCCGGTGGTAGGATGGGCT